CATTTGTCGCGGGATTGACTCACTTCTCTCCTTGACAAGTTCGTATCTTGGTTCGGAGAATGGCCAAACTCACTGATGATTCCGACTACGATGCCGGCGAAACGTTTGAGAAGGTACCAAGTCCACTGTCAGATGCTGGGAATCATGACAACCACTATGGCAGACGACTTCGGACTAGGTGCGTTCCACATGGTCTCCCTGAAAATAAGACCAAGTTGCGACAACGAGGTCAACCCACTTATAAAGGTCTTTTATTTATATATTTTCATATTTAGTTGTGAGTAATTCTAGCTCGTATTTAAGCTTTTGCAAGAATATGCCCTACCTCTGATGATATCTAATATATAACTGAAGGAATTTCATGCGACTTTTACCCGTATTAGGAAAGGGTGTCTCATGGACTGTGTCATCGTAGTAGGACGTCATGGTAAAATCAAACGACTCAATAATAAAGAAAATCAATTGTCGTCTCTTGTTCATATCGGCCTACGGATACATTCTTTAGGCACTTTTACATGAAATGAAAGTTACTTCAACAGTTTTATTACAGGAGATTCATAAAAACTCAGTTACTCTTATTTACCTTTTAAATTTTGAGATCATTATGCGCTAACATTGACATGCTTGTTTTTTTTATATTGTTGCGCTTTTCATTTCATTAATCCGTTTACTTTTAGCCAAATGATTTACTTCTCGGTGATCTAGCTATTCTCCTTGGCTGTGTCTGTTGCCTCGATCGTTACTGGGCCCAGCTGAGTGGCTTAGTTCCACCACAAGATGCGAGAATCCTAGATCTTACTCGTCTCATATCCCCTTCTGCTGAGAGGACGTCTATTGATACGAAAGTTGTAACGAGCTTATCCGACGGCACAGGGTTGTTTGATTGCGAGTTTATGATGCGCCGACTCACAGATAAATGTGGCATTCGTTGGAAGGCTTATCTTGAGATCAGGCAGATGCGGAGACAACTTACTGACATACGTAAGCTGTTTCGTTTTAGCTTCATATATTGTTCATCTCTTATATATCCGATGAATAAACTTTCTTGAGTATTTATGGGCAAATTTATCATGTGCATTTTTTTCTTCTAGGATTAGATTTCTGAGACTACCAGTATAACATAGATATGAGATGTATTTACTCTATTTAGTTTAAGGTAATAAGTGACTGGTAGTTGAATTTTTCTTACAATTATATGAACAGACCTTACATTTTAATGGATTTCATATAGTCTTGCTTCCCAGAAGATATTCTCATCCAGTATTTCAAAATTGTGTTTTTGATGAGTACGAGAATGCAGTCTATCCTGAATGTTAAAACCTCTTTGGAAGCCTATTCATACAACTATTGGAAAATTCAACTACTAGTCCTTCATCATTTGTAACGAAATCGGGTGATTTAACTCTTTTACAAGAACCAAACTTTAATAACTTAATCGAGGATATGAAGACCAAAATGGTTTAGCTCCTGGTATGTTCGCTGTCTCTTTTCGATTTATAGAACTGGGTTGACCTCATTGTCGCAACTTGGTCTTGTTGTCAGGGCGACTTAATAGAACGCACCTAGTCGGAAGTCATCTGCCATTGTAGCACAACTTTGGTGGACTGGCAATCAGAGGGCTAGGCCGGAAGATAATCAAACCGTCACATAACTTCGACGTTATGGCAAAATGTACTAGAAATCCACTAGAGATTCAGCATGCGACCATAGTTAGCCATCTACAGTTTGCTCAGGTTACATGGGTTTAATAAAGGAGATGACCCATGAAGGTAATGCTTGATATATGCAAATATGGGAATCACAGCCAAAGCGCTCTGCTCTGTGAGGCGGCAGTTTACGTGCTTCTAAGGCCTTGAGAAATACAACCTGGTGTGTAACGCAAACTAGGACTAGAACCGAGTGAAATCGGTCAACCAGAAAGATAAGGAACGGATCTACGGGACCATGAGGGGGATCTGAATTGGAGGCCCGAGTCGGATTATCCGATCAAAAGAGAGGGGTCGTGGTGAATAGCAAGTGTAATGAGGCCCTACTAGATTTGCCACAAAAGAGCACATTTTTACTAGTGGAATATAAGCAAGCAGGAAGTTGTAATAGAACGGGAGTTTGATTAGAGGGTAGATAGGTCAGTACAGAGAGTGTAACCGTTTTCGGCAGAACGTTGGTGGAATGATTGACTTCACTTGTCTCT